ATTTATCATTAATGTACAGTCGTGGAATACCGCGGTGTTAAAGTTAAGAAAAAGTTCCTGGTTCTTGCAACAAAACTCCTCCACTGCTTACAAATAGCCAAGTAGCAGCAATTTGTTTAATTCATCATCATCATCATCTTTGGCACCCATAGGTCGTCCATTATTCTGTGCCGCCCGCATCCAATGCACTCCCGCAACATTGACAAGGTCATCGGTCCATCTTGCGGGAGGCCTATCCGTGGCCGCCACTCCAGTGTCCGTTCTGCGATGGGTTCTGATTTGTTTAATTATTGGATGATAATAAGCAATTCCTCGACCTTTTTGAGTATAGACAATGTTGCGTTCTATTGGTTATTGTTATACGTCGTCTCAATGCGTACAAAACGTTGAAATGACGGCTTTTGAGGCGAAACACCAACAGATTGCCTAACTGTACAAAGAAAAATTGGGCCAATATACGTAGGGCGTTATTTGATCAATGTATTAAAAGTAGATAAAATGTTAAGCGGTAATATTTACTGGTTGCTATAATAACATGGCAGTGTTAAATAAAATATAAAAATGTTTATTTAATGATATGTACGCAGTTGGAGAAACCTAATTTCATTGCGGTTACAGATGAATCTAACTTGGATTTACAACTTCGATTTTTATTTAAAACAGCAGTTGCCCATGACTTCGTACGCACAGCATTTAAAAATATACGAAAAAAACTACATATCCCTCGGGAACCTGACTTTTTTCAGATATGAATCGTATTCTAAATGTTATTCCAGACTTGTCTAGATATGTGTTTTTTAAGAATATTTAACCGTTATAAAATTACCGATTAAACACGAAAATAAAAAAATAAAGTATCCCACAGGAGCAGTAACTATTCCCAGGATCAATGGTAGACATGTTCTTAGACTATCCTATACATCTATTCCAAATTTAATCAAGATCAGTTTAGCTGTTTCGGCCACAAACTATTACAAACAACCATTCATCTAAGCTTTCGCATTTATAATATTAGTAAGATAACTATTCAGAAAATTAAATTGCAACGATGTCGTACATGTGACGTATCTTATTTCTTTGACAGTGCAAAATTAAAGGATTTTTAAATAATAATTATTCCAAATATATTCAACACGAATAGGCATTACTATCGTTACTAATAATCGACTTTAAACAGTGTACGACAGTGGCAAAAGCACTAACAGATTTTATAACTAACACACCGTTATTGTAAAATTACTCTAAAGTTTTGCAGTTAAGGTTCAATTTCGAATGTTCCAATTTTCAAGTACCACTTTCGGCCTGAAAAAGAGTTTACGACATAACTGGCGCTCGTTTCATATCACGTGTATGGGCGGATATAGCGAAGGATATTAGAAAATTTATATCGGCCCGCGTACCACTGACAGATGAGATATGGAAGGTATTATTACGATTTTGCAGTAATAAATTTTGTGTCCGTGTTCCGCGATTTTATGCGTTCCTCAGCGGAATGCATTCATCTTAGGTCCTATTTTATTTCGTATGTTAAATGCCTAATGGATCCCATTTAAGGTATAGTAAGGTCAGAACTCCATTGCAGATTATAGCGTGTTAGTGTCTTCGTAGGTGAATCTAGAATTTGTATTTTATCTAAATAGTCCGTGTGACGTTGTATCATAGGTCAGTCTATAATGCAGAGTAAAATTTCGAAACCTTCTTATATTAGTCGCTATGTATGACATAAAGTTACGTATTTACTTCGTCAATATTCTGCCGTCACCAAAACCAGTAAGTAGCTTGAAACATATTTGTAAAGATCGTTGAGAAAAGTCGCTGCGATTGTAAATATGGTGAAGCAAATCAATAGAGTTGACAATTTTAAATCGCTTGTGCACGCTACGCGATACTAGCGACATAAGATTGCGATGCTGGTTTCAAAGATTTGCGTTGTGTACGTAAGGGTTAACATTAAGACTCGCTAGTGTAGTCCTTGACCGATTTTAAATTATAAGGTTTCATTCGAATTGCAATTTTCTCTGAGTGTAATAGCAAAGTTAATCAGGTTCCCTTTTTTAAATTAAAACTATCGATTAAAGAATCACTTCAATAACATTTAAATTGTTTCCCTACCGATATAAATGTACAAACACACAACCCTACCATTAAACCTAAAAGTAATTTCAACTAATATTCGAGAGTTGGTCGATGTACAAACTTTGCCAACAAAACCTCAAAGCTTTCCTCTCAAATGGAATAAGTTAATATTCCCCTAGTATTTTAACAACAGAATATACCTTCAACGTACCAAAGTGTTGTCGGTTTTCGTGAGTCTGGATTTTATTTCAAATTTACATACGGTTTGTTTAAGACTTCATTAAAATATTAACTTCTCTGTAAACGAAAATTAAAAGTATATGTTTAACTCGCCTGCGTGTTAACTAGCATTTTACCATAACTAACCTTATTGAAACATGATCTATGAAGTCAGGAATATATCTTTAGAATACTAAAAAAGAAGGACTCTTAGTAACTGATAATCTACCCTAAGTGCGACAATAAGTAATACAATCACACAAACATAGCTTACTAAACGTTGCGCTTTTCAAAGGCCATCTATACTAATATGTAAAAAAGAATTATATGTATTTTTGTATGTATTGAAATAACTCAACTACTGGGTCGATTACAAAAATTCTTTAATCATTAAAAAGCTACATTATCATTGAGTAACATAGGCTACATTTTTTACTATTTTTTAATACCATGTGGAGAAAGTTGCGGACTGGTAAGTAATACTTTTTGAGTTATAATGTAAAATTCAAGTTAAAAAACTATTGAAGAGACTTGGAATATAATGGAAGCTTTGAATATAATTCGCAGCGCATTTACTGGCCGGTATCCGCACAAAGAGGTTTGCTCAGATCTGCTCTCTGTTTGCTATTCGGATTCATTTTCAATGGAAATTGAAATTCACTTGGACATTGAATGCTGCATGCATTAGACTACTCGGATATATTTTTAACGAGAAAAATGTAGAGATGGAATATTTTTTGATAACAAATACTTACGATATCTTCAGTAACATGCATTCGAGAAGTAATCTGTTCTGTCCCAGGTATGAGAGTCTTCAAGCCCCAAGTGTTAAAAACTACTGGTATAAATTTAAGTGTGGTCTTCCCATGCCTTCTAATATTCGAACTAACCTTGAAAACTGACCTTCACAATCAGAAGTAGATAAAGGGCGTCTCGTAACAGATCCTATATCCCTCCTAATAAGGCTGGAACGGTAAACACTGTACCAATCATAATAACTCTCGGCCGCTTATCGTAAACGCGCCAATAAAACTAAATTGATCACTTCACCTCCTGCGCCAGCCTTTAGATACGTTTTCATGAATCGTATAATATGTTTTATTTTTTATTTGTATAATCTTTTGAAGGTTTTAATATATTTCGTCTAAAATATTTTGTAAGGAAACGTCTGTTGCTAAGGACCTCGGCGCCTACACTAAATAAGGTGTGCCTAGGTCATAGTCAACCACACGAGTCCAATGCGGGTTGACTTCACACATATCTGATTTTGTTTTACTTATAGCGTGCACACACCTTTGATGAAACTCGCATAACTGTTAATATCGCTTTGATTTCTATGAGCTTATATAGACTACACGATTTTAGTTGTGCAACTAAACAATTGAATTGGCTGCAAAACAATCGACAATCGCACAACAGTTGTGCGATATATTAATGAAAGGTGTGGACCCGCTCTTAAGGTTTTACACAAATGTTATATTGTAGAGGAAATTGAAAATCCCATCTTATTTTATTTAACCTTTGGTTTCGCTGGTTTTGTACCTTTTCTACGTGATTTCGTTAGAAAAACAAGCCTGAATAAGGTTTCCTCTAGAGGTCTGAACAACTTAATGTCAGCGGAGTTACATCATTATAAGTTTCTTTTGTGTCGTGCACTGAATTTTATGACCATTAACAAGTATCTCGACACGTATTACGTCTTTGTGAGAACTTCTGTGTATTTCCCGCGAGTTACATTACGAAGGTCAAAATATGTTTGTAATTGGATTTTAGACATATGACTGGTTTCTTACATTATTGTTACGATGATTAAGTGTCACTTAATTTTAATATTAATAAAATGCTAAATTGCTCGCGACATGGTCCACGTGAAATTAAAAAATGTAGCCTATATTATTCAGCGATAACGCAGCTTTTTAATGGTGAAAAAATTTTTGAAATTGGTAAAGTAGTTTTTGAGTTATTTCAATATATAAAAAATCAAAAAATACAAATCTTTCCTCTTTGTAATATTAGTATGGATGTATTACGTAATATAATATCGTTACCTACAATATTATTCATAGACATAAAATGACTTTTTGTTAGTTTCATCGCATGGAAGATAAAACTTGAAATTGAATTCAAAATGTTTGGTGGATTTGAGCCTCAAGAGTTTTTTTACCAATTTTGTAAATGCCACAGGGTAAGCAAACAAAGAGGTTGCTAGTCGTATCGAAGTGCCGAGGGCGGCTGCGATCAAAGACTCCCCATTAAAGGGAACATGAGCTTTACAGTACCTTTGTACTTTCTGCTTTTGATTTATGATGCTTCTTTGTATTATAACAAAACGAACAATTATTTACCTTTTATCTATTTGGGTAAAAACGTCAATTATTGGAACGAAAATGGCAAAAAAATTAATAATAAGTAACCTGTATGCGAAATCTATACTAGAATTGTTTTGGATCTTTGCCATAAAATATTTTAATCTTTTTGCTTGTTAAACGTTTGTTTGTTCGCCAAATGTTAAGTGATTATTACTATCTAAACTGTGCAAGTAGCATTATCTCTTTCATTGTCAATCCTGCTAAATAAAGCAACATGTTATAACTTGTGTTGAAGCATTAGTTGTGTTAGGCGCCTTTTTTATTAAGCGCCTTGTCAAATAAAATAGCAATCAGATTGCACTATATTACTTGCTTAATACTATTCGTTTGTGGCAGGACAGGGAAACTCCACTACCCGACCAATGTGTGCGGGCCGCTGTTCGAGGAGGAGCTGGAGTTCTGGGGGCTGGACTCCAACCAGGTGGAGCCTTGCTGCTGGTCTACATACAGCATACACAGAGATACGCAGGTAAATACAGTTTCTACAGCATCTGAGGATTGTCCATGCTAAGCTGATACTTATTTAGATTAGTTAATCAAACAATCTGAGATCATCTTACATTGGATAACAAACATTTGAATGCTGATAATTTTAACTCGAATAACTTCTTTATTTGCGCACTGATTGCACACAAACGCTAAAAATTAAGTGATTTTTATGAGAATATATTTAAATTAAAGTTAGTTAAATTAATAAATCCACTTTTAAGATTAGCAAGCACGAACTCACAGACAAACCGATAATCAGAAAAATTCTATTATACCTATACAATACCTTTCACAGATTAAGGGTCTCTCCCACCACTGCCTGATAGCTCAGAGAGGTTAAATATGACATCATGGTTGCATTGTCATCAGACAATTTACAATTTGGTGGGACATGCCCTAAGAGTATCTATTAAAAACAGTTTTACTAAATACTTAGGTAAATAACACAGATCTTGTGAAATAAACGTAAAAATAATTTTTACGACTCTTGTTAATATTTCGACGAAACAACGTTATATCAAAACTGTTGAGCTGTCGTTAAAATGAAATCCAAAAGTCGGAAACAAAATCTCGAGGAGCCCGTAATTGGCTTATGTCATTTTAATATAAACGTTGAGTGAAGGAGGCATCCTCTAGATTAGATTTGGAAATGTTTTTCATTCAAATGGAACAGCTTTATAAGAATCAATGTTTGTTACTCATGTGTTCCTAAACTGTTTGATAGGTTTTGATGAAATTTTGGCAGCTTGTTTTGGGGACTATTGGGAATGTTTGTACAATAAAAATTCTTCCTAGTAACTGAAACTTTTTGTACTATAACATTATGTTCATTTTTTCTTGTTCTTCTATCTTTGGGTTTTCCCAGTTATTTGGGGTCGGCCTTCCTTGTCCTAAGTCTCCAGACAGCACGAATCTTTTGTTCATACATTTTAATACTTTACATTACTTTGGTATTTCTAAACATTACATTAGCGGTATTTAATTACTTAATAACGATTGATGGTTGCATCCTAGTTTTGAAAGTATTCAATTTTTGACATTATCTTCCTGTTGTGAAAGTGCTTCGGTATAAAAAAGCAATATCGAATATTGCGTTATGAACTTGAAACACTAAAGTCTGAAAGCGCTGTTAAATAAAAAACGGCAACGAAAAAAATCTATAAGAGTTCAAGGCTGGAAAACTTTTACGAGATTTGCAATAAACTACAGGGGCGGACTTAAAACTTTATGATTCACTGTTTTTAATTTCATATTTTTAATTTACGAGATCTATACGACTGTGCATTTTTATTAAAACTTTAAACATAAAGATTACAGTGTAAGGTTTATTTACAGTTGAACCAATTAGTGACAATTACAAGGTTTACTTCTAACATTTATCGTTTTACTAATTTTCGCCTGCGATTCCATCCGTGATAAAAACAAAATAAAAGTGATTAGCTTATGTGTTCCAGACTATGTTTTATGGAGATCTATTCATTTAACAGTGGTAGAGCCCGCTCTAACATCTTCGCACGTTATACCACGTAATACCTCGACCACACAGAACACAGGTGTGAAGTGGAAGCAATGCCGCGTTTAGTCTGATGAGTGTAGTGCCGGAGGCCCAATTATAGTCCTTTTCCACCCTTTGCTTAAGAGGAAAGAATGGCGAGGGAAAGTGGATTTGACGGTGGAGGAGACGCATAAAAAGGGGAAATGTCCTCTTTATGTGCGTCTCCTCCTCCCTCAATTAAGGGTAGGCAAAGCATCTGCAATTGCTACTGTTTATGGGCAGCGGTCGCTTTCCATTTCGGTGAATTCAGGTGGCAGCTTGCTCGTTTTCCACCTATTATTATAAAAATCAGCAGTTTAGGCGATAAACAACATACATCCATCCATCAAAACTTTTGCATTATTATTACTAAGATATACCAATTACTCTACAGATAACAATTTACCGTGTTTGGAACGATGTCACGTATAGTAATTACTCGGTAACTACAATGTAGTTACTAAGTGGTCCCTAATCAATCACGGTCCGTCCCGTCTTAATGTCAGGTCGTGTTAAACTTGAAATTGTTGTTAGTAATTTGTTATTAACATATTGAAATACATTGTTTGAAATGTTAATTATGGTAAACTAAGTGCCAGTTACGGTTGCTAAGAATTGAAGAAAAATCATTTTCTTTATTTTTATAAGTATATGTATTTTTAACAGTGGTAGCGCTTTAACATCTTAGCACAAATGGGCCGGCACGCCCGGTGTAATACCACGACCACACAGAAGACAGGAGTGAAGTGGAAGCAATTCCGTGTTTCGTTTAATGAGTATGTTGCCGAAGGCCTAATTTAAGTCCCTTACTCTTTACCAACCTTTTCTTATAAGGAGAGGATGGGATGGGGAAGTGGATTTGACGGTGGAGGAGACGGATACAAGGGGAAATATCCTATTTATGTGCGTCTCCTCCTCCGTCGGATAAGGGTAGGCAACGCATCTGCAATTGCGGATGTCTATGGACAGTGGTCGCTTCGATATTTTGGCAGATTCAAGGGGCCGCTTACTCGTTTGTCACCTTATGATATAAAAAAACAAAAATAAATAAAGATTAGATAAATGTACACTTTACTTAGTTAAACGAAAACAACATAAAGCTTTGAACTTTGACTAGATTATTGCATCACAAAGAGAATACTTACCAAGATGGATAAGTACGGGAATGCATTTTGCTTGTTCTAAAAATGAAAAACTCTACATTTCTGTACAAATTACTCTAGAGAAAGGTTGTTGTAAAATCTTGGTTTATTTCAAAGTAAGAAATTCATGATTCTGGTACCGTTATTTATCTCTTTCTTACTAATATTATAAATGCGAAAGTTTAGATGGATGGATGGATCTTTGTTAGAGTTTATAGCCTAAACTGCTGAACGGATTTCAATAAAATTTGAGGCAGATGTAGAGCATAGTCTGAAAAATACACGCTACATGCTATTGTTTTTATTTTAATTCAACATGGACGGAGTCGCGAGAGAAAGCTAGTTAAGTATTAAAAAAATGAGTGACGTTTTTAAAATATTTAAATTGGCCTTAAAAATTGCTTAACAAATAAAATTCTTTGTTTAATCTTTTAATCCCTATTTATGGCTAAACTAACATGTTTCCGGCGTGAACAAATCCCGCATTGCCGGTTTCCGAGTTTCAAATAATTCATTCGAATTCCGTTTGTAATACTAAACTGATTATGTGGCGAGCTTGTATACATAAATTAGTTCATGGTTTGTGCTAATAATTAATCTGTTTCAACATGTTCATGACTAAATACGAATAATTAACTGAATAATTGGAATATAGTGAATTATAAAGCTTTTTTTTATCAACATCTACAGACACATGGTCCGTATTCTTTTTGCCACAGTAAATTGATTTTTTTCTTTTTTTTTTTTGGCTGTGTAATTCTTATTACATTAATGAGTTCCTATTTTTTATTATACACTAGCATTCGCCCGCGTCCCCGTTCGCGCGGAATTAAAAAAAATCAAAAGCAAGTAACCTATGTGTTCTTCCAGACTATCCTCTACATCAATGCCAAATTTCATCGAAATCCCTTCAGCCATTTAGGCTACAAACTCTAACAAACATCCATCCTTCCATACATCCATCTAAACATTTTTTTTCTTTTCTTTTTTCCATTATTTTATTAATATTTTAAGTTATGCTAAAAACAATAACATAACTATAAAGAATTATAAATCTTAGCACCCTTAGGGTTGTTTAATGGTCAAGAAAGACATCTCATATATTGATTAGAGGTTACTAAGTGTATATTAAGGGATAGCTTAAGTAACCATCAAAACAGAGTACGGCAATTGATTGACAAATTAAATACCTGTTATTATATGTACTGTTTCATACTAACATCAATTCAATTACGTAGTAGTTACTCTGCTCTTCTCAGTTAACGTGCCACCAACCTCGGCTAATGAATGCACCTCCTTGCAACTAATTGAAGACAACCTCACTCATTTACCTAATGGGGAAATGTTCACTTCTGTTTGTAAGCTATTTCTGATTGCAGTTAAATGGCACTTAGTGTGAAAGACGTTAAATGTATTGGAGTTGTAATCTATACTTCTATACTAATATTATAAAGAGGACAGTGGGCTCTACCACAGTTTAACAGTGGTAGAGCCCGCTTTAACATCTTCGCACTAATGGGCTGGCTCGCCCGGTGTGATACCACGTCCACACAGAAAACAGGCGTGAAGTGAAAGCAATTCCACGTTTCGTCTGATGAGTGTGGTGCCGGAGGCCTAATTTTAGTCCCTTTCTCTTTTCACCCTTTTCTTAAGAGGAAAGGATGGGAAGGAAAAGTGGATTTGACGGTGGAGGAGACACATAGAAAGGGCAAATGTCCTCTTTATGTGCGTCTCCTCCTCCGTCAATCAAGAGTAGGCAACTGTCTATGGGCAGCGGTCGCTTTCTATTTCGGTGGATTCAGGTGGGCGCTTGCTCGTTTGCCAACTTGTATTATAAAAAAAAGGAAAGATTTGTATTTTTGTATGTATTGAAATAACTCAAAACTAGTGGGCCGATTTTGAAAATTCTTTCACCGTTAAAAAGCTACGTTATCACTGAGTAACATAGGATATATTTTTTTAATTTCACGCACGAAGTAACGAGTAAAAGCTAGTTATATATATAGAAATCTTATGTATTATTTTTATAATAAAACACACGCATTCAAATAAATGAACAAGAGCTCGCGAACTGAGATCTAGTAAATAACACTTTTATACTTAATTAGTGCTGTGAATATGTGAACAATGGGTATTGTTTTATACCACGTGACCCTTTCGGCCCTTATGAAAAAATAAGGCCAAAATGAAAGTCATTTTGAAGCTTGCATAGAATATTGTTGAAATAAAAACCATTTCCATTCTAACATTTGTAGCAACAATGAGAAAGCTCATTTAGAACATTTTTTCAATACCATTTATGCG